TGTTAGATGCAAGAATGTTTAAATGTTTTTAGCTGTGAGATTCTTCTACGTTGTTAGATGTAAGGATGTTTAAATGTTTTTAGCTGTGAGATTCTTCTACGTTGTTAGATGTAAGAATGTTAAATGTTTTTAGCTGCAAGATTCTTCTACGTTGTTAGATGTAAGGATGTTTACATGTTTTTGCTGTAAAATTATTCTAAGTTGTTAGATGTAAGGATGTTTAAATGTTTTTAGCTGTGAGATTCCTCTAAATTGTTAGATGTAAGAATGTTTAAGTGTTTTTAGCTGCGAGATTCTTCTACGTTGTTAGATGTAAGGATGTTTAAATGTTTTTGCTGTAAAATTCTTCTAAATTGTTAGATGTAAGAATGTTTAAATGTTTTTAGCTGTGAGATTCTTCTAAATTCTTAGATGTAAGAATGTTTAAATATTCTTAGCTGTAAAATTCAGAACCAACTATAAGTTTTCTTTCGTCTAAACAAACAATCAAAACATGATTAAAAGTCGTTGTTTCAAGGCTTTGGTTTTTTCTGTTGAAAGAATGTTTTTATTTTTTACTCTATCAAGAAAGTCTGACTGACATTTTTCAATTATAAGAATGTAATCAATCTATTGACAATTTCAAGTACGAATGCAAATACGTTGAAAAGATATCAATATAAACGTATGATAAGCTACCTCATTAGCTATTTTTGAACAAGATAATAAAGCAAGAAAACAAATTATAAAAAGAACAAACTTACTTAAAGCTATAACCATCAAAACTGCTGGGACACCAAAAGCTAAAGGATAGCAAGTGTTGTCTCCAAAACACCTGACGTCGCCTGAAACGTTACATGAATATTAATTAGTATTCGCAACCGTTGAAAATATATTTACTAAGCATGTTATTGAAATTCTGGATTGTGTTTAATAAACGTTATATAAACCTGTTATTTATTAATTATTTGTAATGTAAACAATATATTAGGCGAGAAAATAAAATAATAATAATAATTAATGGACATTAGAGAAACAGCGTTTATGATCCCTAAGAAAAAACAAGTTGATGTGATTATTTAATGTTTGATTAATCCTGATGTGCTGCCATCCATGTGCAAAATGAATTAATAAAGCCTATCAACAACGTAGTGTTCATGACTTAGTCACTTAAAAAAATCCTTATGGACATTAAGCTTTTTCTTTTAAAATCACTTTTAACTTTTCATTACTTGAAATATTCAAAAAAGTATATTTCCACTTTTATGCTGAGTTATGGGTAAAATTTCTGAAAGCGAAGGAAAATAATATAATATTTATTTTCTATTTTAAAAAAAGTAAGTTAACTTTTCTTTGAATTTTTCTTTTAAACAAAATTTAAGTATTGTTGTTTTGTTTTACGTATATGAAGTAGTAAAATAAACTTGAAAGAAAGGTGTATACATTTTTTAAAAATAAAGGCAGTTTTATATCAAAAACGTTTTTTTTCCTATTTAACGATTTCTCAAATTTAAAATTACTTTATTTCCATTAGATGGAGTACAAAACAAAATTCAAAGTTTATAGAAAATAATAACATGTTGTTTGCTCTATGAACGTATTCCTTACCTCTCAGAATTGGAGTCAAAAAGGTAGACAGTAAGCTTCCAGCATTGATGGATAAATAGAAAAGCGAGAAGAAGCGTTGAAGGTCACGTTCCTTTAAAAAGATACAATACTGGACAATAAACAAAAGACCCAGCATTCACATGCAAAATAATTCCCGAATTAACCTTGTTAAAAACGAACTTAAAAATGTACGCATATCAACAATTTTATTTATCATTAACCAACTATATGATTATATATTTAAAAAATTAGTATTTATAATATCTATTGGTTCCTATGGTGAAAACTCTCTCTTAACCTATTAATATAGAAAGGAATAAGTTAAAATAATTAAGACGGAAACTTAAACGAGTCATTTCTATATAATTGATATTTGAAATCGTCGGTACTTGGTGAAACTCCATAATTACAAAACTGAGGAAAAACAAGACAATAATACGTTTCGCAAAGTAAATCAAGTACCTGATGATGCCTTTACCGGCAAAATAATGGTCGTGAACAAATGACATTTTTGTAAAACGTACAATTTTCTTCTTTTCCCCCATCAATTCTGAAGTTATTTCTAAAAAATAACGTCGAATTGCACATTGGGTTATATTGGACACTTCTGATCTCATTTAACGACTGGATGATTGGATTATTTTGGACTTACTGAATTCGATCGAGCTATTGGAGTATGATAGACATGGTTAATTCGATCACAAGACCAGATTATTTGAAACATATTTGATCTGATTAAATGATTCGAGTATTTTGGATACATTTGATTTGAATAAACGACTGGAATATCTTGAACGTACATGATTTCATTCAATGGCTAAAGCATTTCGGACATGTATGATTTTGATCATACGACTGGAATATTTTGAACGTACATGATTTCATTCAATGGCTAAAGCAGATCAAAATCATACATGTCCGAAATCAAAATATTCCAGTCGTATGCGTACATGATTTCATTCAATGACTAAAGCATTTTGGACATGTATGATTTCGATCATACTACTGGAATATTTTGAACGTACATGATTTCATTCAATGACTAAAGCATTACGGACATGTATGATTTCGATCATACTACTGGAATATTTTGAACGTACATGATTTCATTCAATGACTAAAGCATTACGGACATGTATGATTTCGATCATACTACTGGAATATTTTTATAAATTTAGTTTGACCACAAGACAGGATGATTTCGGACATAGTCGATTTGATTAAAAGATTCAAGTACTAAACGACTGGAGAGTTCTGGATATATTTGACTAGATTAAACGTTTTATACACAGAAATCTATTGGCTCACTCTCCACAGAAAAATTCATGTTTTTTATTCTTTTGTGAGTTTATCTGTCATAGTACAAAGTAAAAGTTGCAAAAAAGAGAGACTTTTAATGCATTACATATTTTTCTGGAATTGGTGATTATTCATTCAAATAAAACTAAGTTATTTATACACACAGACACATATATATTTAAATGTGATATAAAGACTGGCAATAATTATAAAGAATTATTTAACTTTTTTAAATATTGCAACCACTCATCCATCATCCGAACGATAGCCAAGAATATAATGGACACTAAGAAATTTGGTTTGTTGTTGTTAAAAACAAAGCTACACACTAGGGTTATCTGCGTTGTGCCCATCACGGGTATTGAAACCCTAGGTTTTAGCGTTATAAACCTTCATTATAAGCTGAGCCACTGGGAGACGGGGGGGGGGGGTATTTGGATTGGCGAGATTGTTACCTCGTCTTCAGTAATCAATTTTATAAACATGATAGATTGATACTTTTTTAACATTTAATATATATAATATTTAGGTACTCATTTCTGCTGATGTTTCGGTTTTCATTTGTTTGCATAACAAAGAAAACTACTTTCCTAGCCGCCTAGATATCTGAGGATAATTTTCAGTAACAAACGGCCCGGCATGGCCAAGTGGTTAGGACGCTCGTATCCCCGTTCCACTCTTTCAGCCTCGGAGGCGTTGTAACGTGCCAGTCAATCTCACTATTCGTTGGTAAAAGAGTAGTCCAAGAGATGGCAGTGAGTGGTGATGACTAGCTGCCTACCTTCTAGTCTTTCACTACTAAATTAGGGATGGCTAGCGCAGATAGCCCTCATGTAGCTTTGCGCGAAATTCAAATTCAGCAACAAATTTTGACTAAATGTCATTTACCAGCTAAGACCTATAGTCAGCAATTGAAATAAGCATAAGATTCTTTATTATTTGAATCCAAGACGTTGTAAGTTACCTGTCCAGGACCAAATTGGTCTCCGCCGAATGCTGACACACAAGGTTTGATACCTCCCGTCCCTGCTGCTACAGTGAAGAGACCTATCATGGATATAGCTCTGAAGAAAAGAAGGGAAGAACACGAACTTACCAATTAATGTTTATTCTTCCCACGGTGAGGCAAACAGCCTTCAACAAATTACCTTTCTAAACTAGACACAACTGAAACGATGAAACTATTTTTTTTTAAATTAGAACTCACAGTATTTCACTTCATTAACTTTACGTGAACTGTTTTTAGTTTACTCAAAACAAGTATTAACTGTATGTGTAATTAATACTAAAGTACTGTAACTTAATATAAGTCTTAACTGTATTTGTAATGAATACTATAGCACTGTAACTTAATACATGTATTAACTGTATTTGTAATGAATACTAAAGTACTGTAACTTAATACAGGTATTAACTGTATGTGTAATTAATACTAAAGCACTGTAACTTAATACAAGTCTTAACTGTATTTGTAATGAATACTAAAGTACTGTAACTTAATACATGTATTAACTGTATGTGTAATTAATACTAAAGTACTGTAACTTAATACATGTATTAACTGTATGTGTAATTAATACTAAAGCACTGTAACTTAATACATGTATTAACTGTATGTGTAATGAATACTAAAGCATTGTAACTTAATACAGGTATTAACTGTATGTGTAATTAATACTAAAGCACTGTAACTTAATACTAAGTCTTAACTGTATTTGTA